AGCTCAGCGAGAATCCACATTTCTTTCCTGCTTAGAGATCCCTCCCACACTGGAACTATGCGAAAACTAGGAATACAGTCGTAACACACTGCTACTTACAATTACCTCAGACTTTAGTTTTAGACCCGGACTTTTGCAGCACTGGTGCCTGTGCAGCCCGGACGGGGAAGGGGGTGAAAGACCCACCGCCGCCCCTTGGATCCACCTATGTCTCGGACAAAGGGTTTGTGCACTCAGACATCTACTCTTTCTCAAAACCCCGTCTTCAGCTGAACGGTGGCATAATGTGGGATCCCCTTCTTTCTTCCCCATCCCCCCTCTAGAAGAGACGGCACTTCAAAGTTTGGTGCAAAAACGCATGATCGTACCGGCTCGCCTGGTGCGTTCCAGCCTGGGTATTTCATTCTTGGTGAGAGACGGAGGCACTCGGGAAATAGCCCGAGTAGTGGCAAATGCCAACAGGTACCACACGCTGGCAAGACTGTTGGTTCTCTCTTCTGAGAGTTACTTACAAGCAAACTGATGGCGAATCTTAATCCTTACCACTACGAATTTATCACCGAAACGAATCGTAAAGAGATTAGTTATCCTTATGGCAGAGTCGGGCCTTCGACCTGCTGCACGGCACCACGCCGTGCATGTTGGCTAAACACTTAATGGTTCGAAACATTTCTTACTATTAAAAAAATTTTCAACATTTTATTAGTTCTTCTTTTAACATAAAAATATCTTGTTTTGTTTATCATATATAAAGTACCGGATTCTTATTGCAGGCGTGTTGCTGTGGTTACAGCAGAAGTTGTGTTCACTGTATTTTTGACGTTTTGGAGTGTCGTAGTGGCGAGGGTGCTTTACGCTGATTTCTATGGTAGAAGTTCGGAGCCCCCGTCTGCGCTGTGCAGTGGTGTTCAGACGCTTGATTCATGGTTGCCTTTGGGTCTTGCGAAAGCGGTCAGTTGTGATAAGAATAGGAATATTGACAGCTTTTTTGGACGTATATCTCGAGAGGCTGAAGTGGTGACTGCCTTTTTGGCTGCGCAATTCAGTTTCGTTACAACCTACTACGACTGGCTAATAACAGCTGCAGATGATTTGTACGAGGAATGGCTGTCGGAAAGGTTGCAGTCTTTCAATGAGCATTTTCTGGATTTTTATGAAATTGTGCAGACAAGCTTTTGTGATCTTAGAGAAACATGCTTTGGTGTTTTCGTTCAGGTTTATTTTGATACAAAAGACTTCATCAGTAATGTGTACGAGTATGTGGCACATAATTTAGGTTTCAGGATTGTTGATAATAAGGAGGAATTGTAAACTTACACTTATTTTTACTGTATTCGTTTAGCCAAATAAGAGCAGTTTTTGACAAAACTCTTCTGTGTGCTTGCCTTCGTTTTCGAGTTCGTTTTTAAAGATAATGACGAAAAAGAGCGTGATAAAAATTAGCTGGGTACTCAACGCCTCAAACTGAGAATCGCATTTTTTTTCCAGTAAAATTATCTTTTCAAATGTGGCTCGTGGACAAACCAGGCAGTAAGTGCATGTTCTCCATTTGATATCATACTTTAATTCCACAATGCATTTTTTTAATGATTTGTACTGGCGGTGCTGATTAGCTGTGTATTAAAATAGGTGTAGACTTGTAATGTTTTGAACACCTGAATTTTGACTTGGTTGAGCAAAAATTTTATAAGCTGTCGTACACTGAATGAACTGCTGCAATCTAGGTAGTGAAGTAGTATGCGCTAGAAAGGTGCCTAACTCTTTTGTGTTAATTGACAACAATATTTTTGTATATAAGGGGAAATCAAAAGCACTGAAATAAGAAATATTAAAATATTATCGGAATTGGGTTTAAGGATTTACTAAAAAT